CCTGACCTTGCTTGAAATTCACGTATGCCCTGTGACTCAAGGGTACTCGTGGCAGTGTAACCGAGTAATTGGCGTGTCAAGTTTCCATCCTGCACTGTCGCGGTTCGACTCCCGCTGAGGGTGTTGATAAGACCGAGGCGAGTTCGAAACTGCAGTCCACTGGTGCCTGGATGAGAACAACTTATGGGAAAGCAAGGGAAACGTCAGCTCAACTCATATCATTGTGGGAAAATTCAACTCTTCTGCCAGTCCTTCATCACCTTGAACGAAATAGGGTGAATACATCTCATTATACTGATTTACTGGTAGTCTCGAAACTCTACTCTCATACGAAAATAAGTAATTTTAAGTTATTGCTCAGACATGGCATGTGAAAAGTCACTGCAATTGGTACGTCCAGCAATGAAGCAAACAGCGCTGAGCTTAAATCGTCGATTTAGCCTGACTAATGGTCACTATCCTCCGTGGGTACACATCATCCTACTTTCCGCACAACTTCCTTATCTCCTCGTCACCTGTTATCTCTTGGAGATTTGATATGCACTTACAAATTCATGGGGCTGTCCTGTCGTTTAAGCCCAAAGTTTGACCTTGTTCTCGCAACTGGATCATATTGGCAGGAAGAGCTGGAGGCGTGGTGCTAAGAATGGGATGGCTTATTGACGATGCCGATGAAACGTCTGGAAATGTACCAAATCCATGGTGCTAATCTGGAAATTATCATGTATTCTATACGATCCGGAGTAAATGCGTTCATCTAAGTCTTCCTTCCAATATGACCAAGTTGCGAGAACAAAGCAAAACAACTTCTATACAACGAAAGGAGACCGCGGCCGTACACAAGGACACACTATCCTTGTCTTCATACCTTCCATTTGTCGTTCTGTTGATGTATGTGGTGACTTTGACAGCAGCTATGTCCACTAGTCGGTATTAGTTGGTCTGCTGCTAAAATAAGTTGCTTTGGTGCTTATTTGGTATTAATAATATTATTAATACTTTAGCTATATAAAATTAGATAATAATAATAATACTATTATGATATGGTAAGTTAATAGTATGATCATATTTATATTGCCCATATTTCTCAATACTCAATTTGATTATGCAGCAATCAAGACAAATTTGCTCATTTTAAGCATTGAGGCCCATTATGACTGCCTCACTAATGTCACCTCTGCCATACCACTCTTCTTCTATTTGTACAGGCACTTTTGTCGCCCTGGCAACGGTTATCATCCTGATCGTGCGTTTTGCTGTTACTGAATTTGCCTATCGCAAGGCTGCTTGGAATACAGGCCTTCATCTGAAACAGATCGTCAACTTCATCATCACAGGCGTCACGGTGCTGGTAGTCGCGGTGCCGGAAGGTTTGCCGCTCGCGGTTACCTTGGCTCTTGCATATTCCGTCAAGAAAATGATGAAGGTGAGCACCTATTTTTCTGCATTGTCGATACATTCGAAAGAAATTCCTCAGACGTTGATCTCCACCGAGACCAGCTATTTATTCATTGTCATTTTTTTTAATACTTAAGTTTCAGCTCTCATCAACTTTCTTGGATCCTCTCTATGTTTAGAACTTCTGCCATAGACACAAATAGGGTTGGGTTGAGCCTCTTTATCCTTCCTTGGATATCCGATCTATCCTGCAACCCTATAAAGCTAAGGACATGAAGCCTATGGAGTTATGTTTATAACCTTTATTTTGGGTAATGCTTTGACAAAAACCAGATCGAAACCTTTTAAAAACATCATATTTCGACGAAAAAGCATTTATTTTCCTCAAATCCCCTTGGACTATATACTGTATGCAATATTTCTCTTTGTGAACAGATAGATTAATCTTACTACCCTTTAGCCATTGTCACTCATTCTAGGATGGCCTCAAACTATTTATTTTCTCTGAATTTGCTTTTCTATCATTTTGTGTTCTTTTCTTAATTTTATTTCTACTTGTCATAACATATGGGATCGGTACGTAAGTAGGGTACACGAATTACTCAAAGTTTTATTTTTAAAAACTATTAGGTTTTTTGGTTCTTCGGGGAAGGTTGGCTCTGATATTTTCGATTTAACCAATCAGTTATTATACGCTTTATATTGTTTAGGCTGTTTTATTTTATAAAATTAAAGTGTAATTAAGTGCTATCACT